TATTAGGTTATTGTCAGTTCGATTTCGTGATCCTTGGGGATTTCACTGGTTATACTATGGGCATTTTTTAAGGTGTGGTCACTTCCATATCCATTTTCCAAGTATAATGTGCTTTTTATGGGTTTCTGGCTCGTTAGGTTCCACAGCTCTACGTTACATATGGTCAGAATATTACATTAAATCGGATGAAAATATATATGGGAGCTATATCTAAATCTGCACCGATTTTCACCAAATTTAACACACATCATTCTAGACTCTAATCAGTACGCTATGCCAAATTTCGTACAAATCGAAAGATATTTAGGGACTTTGGTGCACCATTTACATAAAATCGGACGAAAATATATATGGGAGATATTTGTAAATATGAACCGATTTTCAGGAAACTTAACACACATCAATCTAGACTTAATTTAGTACGCTATGCCAAATTTCGTGCAAATCTAATGGTATATAGGGGCTTTGGTACACATTTACCTTAAATCGGACGAAAATATATATATATATATATAAATCTTAACCATTTTCAGGAAATTTAGCACATCATTCTAGACTCAATTCAGTATGCTGTGCCAAACTTCGTACAAATCGAAAGACATATGGAACTTTGGTGCACCATTTACCTTATATCGGACGAAAATATATATGGGAACTATATCTAAATCTGACCCGATTTTCACAAAACTTAGCACACATCATTCTAGGCTCAATTCAGTACACTGTGCCAAATTTCGGGCAAATCGAAAGCTATGTACGGACTTTGGTGTACCATTTACCTTAAGTCGGACGAAAATATATATGGGAGCCATATTTAAATCTGAACCGATTTATCCCAATTTCAATAGGGTTCGTCCTTGGGCCAAATGAATGAGCTGTGCCAAATTTCATCCAATTCGAATAATAAATGCGACCTGTACTTTGTTTGAAATTTAACATAGACAGAGAGACGGACGGACGTGCATGCATAAATCGACTTAGAAAGTGATTCTATGCATATTCTCAAAAGGATCCATGTGCCAATCTCGTTTCCTTTTGCATGTTACAAACATATGCACAAAGACATAATACCCTGTACCACAGCAATTTTTCTAATTTTTCCACTTGATCTTTCCATCAACTTCGTGACCTTCCCCTTCGGCGTGAGCCATCAGGCTCGTTTTTATATGCCTTTTGAGCTGGGGCATCCTCATCCATTCTCACAACATCACTTAGCCAACCTAGTCGCTGCAGCTCGATATGTCCGACTATGTCGATGTCCGAGAATAGATGGTACAACTCATGGTCCATTCGACGGCGATATTTACCATCGACGCAAATCGGTCCGTAGATCTGTCAGAGAATTTTTCTCTCAAACATGCTTCAGATCCATATACCAGCACGGGTAGTATCAGCATCTTGTAGAGTGAGAGTTTGATCCGGCGAGAGGTAGGCTTGTTTCAAAAAATGCTTACTTAGACCATAGTAGTATCTGTACGGCGGCGTCGAGGTATATAAAATCTTTGACTACCTCGAAGCTGAAGTTTTCAAGTTCCACAGTTGGTCCGAGACAATGGACGTCTTGCGCGTTAATACCGCCAGCTTGGTTAATGCCATCAGCATTTACATCCAGACCCACTTCGGCAAACTCCTTCTAAATTTGTTCATAATGGGTCGGACAATGCGAACGATAACAGCCGTATAGGCGAGTAACATGTGTTGTATGGTGTTATTTCTGTTCACCTTTGCCTCTCGTGTCACCTTTTCCAGTGGGATGTTAAAAAGGTCACACGAGAGGCTGTCAACTTGTCTGAACCCTCGTTCGGTATTGAAGGGCTCCGAGAGGTCCTTTCCAACTTTAACCTTATGCCAGTTAAAGTTATCCTGCATAACCTTTTTAATTTGGCCGGAATTTCGAACACAGAACAATTGGCTTTAAACACCAGGGTTCCATGTTCATCTCTACAGGAGGATGTGGGTAAACAATTTAACACATACCGACAGGCTGGTATGCTTTAAATACTATGAAAGTGTGCCTAGTCGAAGTATTGGATGCAGAACATCAGCGTCTGAGCACCAAATCCTTTTCAGACAATTTGAAGACGATTAATCGATTTATAAAGGTCCAATCGATTTATAAAGGACCAAAATTTGGACATTGAATTATTTTTATAAAACTTAAATCAGGTTGAAAGATTGGGAATGTCTGCTAACTATTTGTGGTAACCCCAGAAATTATGATCAAATAAATTTATATTATCATCGAACGAAATATTCAATTTCAATTTCAAAAATTGGGCAACCTAATGTCCAAAGATGGGGTCGGTTTACGCTTTCTAGAACCTCCCACACCAAGTGTCAACATTTTGAAATGTTGTTAGTCTATAATTCTATTATTAATTGAATGGCATGTCTGAATGATTTATATTTTGTACTTTTTAATATTTTTACCAATCCTGGATATCCGTCGGTCCACTCCCTCTAGTACCTACCACACAAAGGGTCAACATTTTAAATTTCAAAATAGTATATTTTAAGTAGAAAATTTTTAAATTTAAGTTAGTAATTTTCCAATATCAATTGAATGGTGTGACCGATTGATCTAAATTTTTCAATTTTTAATGTTTTTACCAATCCTAGATCCAGTCAGAAAATGGTACCAATCGGTCCACTCATTCTAGTACCTACCTCACAAAGGGTCAATATTTACAATTTTAATTAGTAAATTTCATATGAAGCGAGTAATCTGATTTGATCGAAATATTTTTCCCAATCTATACTAAATCCCTAGGGGGTTTATGATGCCACTTATACTGGTATCGTGCAACTTGTCGGGTCGAAACCTTACACACCTTAAATACTAATTATATATTATGTGCAACTATTGGCTATATAAGACCATCATTTCAGGTACTTAAAACGGAAAATGTCATAATTATGGAAAATTATAAATTTAATAAAAAAATTATTCCACATCGACTGCATACACTCGACTGAAGACCTCAGCCTTGGAAACAAAATAGCTTTCTGAAGTCAGGGTCTATATTGCATATATTATAGGCTTGTTTTATTAGAATCTCTTTAAAATATTTTTCTTTCTGGATTTTTATACCCCTCACACTGTGGTACAGGGTATTATGCCTTTGTGCATATGTTTGTAATAGGCAAAAGGAAACGAGATAGACCCACGGTTCCTTTTGAGAATATGCATAGAATCACTTTCTGAGTCGATTTATGCATGTCCGTTCGTACGTCTATGTATTTTTGTACATAGGTACATACAGGTCACATTTATGGTCCGATTTGGATGAAATTTGGCATATATCACATATTTGGCCCAAGGACAAACCCTATTGGAGAAATCGGTTCATATTTTGATATAACTCCCATATATAGTTTCGTCCGATTTTATGTAAATGATGCACCAAACTACCAATATTAGTCCGAGAGAGACAACATTTTCCACAAAGTACTAAATTAGGTCTAGATTGATGTTTTGTTGAAATCGGTTCAGATTTGGATATATCTCCCATATATAGTTTCGTCCGATGTTAGATAAATGGAGGACCAAAGAGTCAAATTTAGGCCGATTGGCAAAAATTTTGCATAGCGTACTAAATTAAATCCAAATTTATGTATGCGAAGTTTTGTCGAAATCGGTTCAGATTTGGATATAGCTCCCATATCTAAATGATATTGTATATATGAGCATCTCTTACATGTACCCAAAGTAGAGGGTATCATATAGTCGGCCCCGACCGACTTTTGAACTTTCCTTACTGCTTTTTCTAATCTCATAATTTGTATTTCTCATATTTAAAACATGTTTATACATTTCGAAACACTTTAATCATGTCCTTCATGCATTGCACTCTGGTGTCCTTTGCAGTTGTCACAAGCTCGTGTATAATTGTATTTCTTCGTTTAGCCAGAACTGACATATGTTCGTAAAGAGCTTAATTTCATTTCATAGCTTGGCATGCTTTTTTGATTTGATTAATGTTGTGGTTCAGTTGCCAATGTGCACCCGAGTTCAATGAATGTCATAAATTTCAATGGATAAATGTCAAATAGTGAATGTGACTCATTTGGAAGGTATTGAAATAATAAGAGAAATGGGCGAGGAAAACTTCTAATATTCGTATTGTAATCTCCAGTAATATAAATACATACCAAGCCTTAAAAATGATCACCTGTAATGATTTTCCTTGTATGTGTACAATATCCTACCTGTCTCAGATCCGTTGTCAAAGCAGTTTCAAATTGATAGGGCCTGCTTTGTACAGTCACAGGGGTCTTTAAAATTCTCATTCGAATTGAGGTCGAGACGTTTGCCACTGGCCACTATTCTCTCACGATTTGCATGGTGGTTTCTGTTCGACCTCGATTTCGTGATCCTTGAGGATCCCATTCAAGCGTCATTTTGCTTATGATGTGAAGATTTTTTCTTAAGATGTGACCAATTCATTTGCTACGATTAATATGCATTACTTGTGGTTATGGGCCAGAATAATCTGCAATGATCCTGACGCAATTTTTGACACTGGTATACCTGTTTGTTATAGGTGGAAGTCTTAATAGGTATCCTCGGTGGCAGTCGTATATCTTCCTTGTCCCGCAAAATCTCCAGAAATCTTCAATGCGAAAAAAACATAAATTTCTGGATACAGTTATCAATGCAAGTCATCATTGAGGGCCGGTTTGATATTAGCTTTGTTGTTCTTGGTGGTTGACTTATTTTTTCAACATTAATTGATTACTTATTTTTAGAGTATTAGAATTAACAAATTAACAATAATATGTTATCATTTATTTTCGAAATAAAATGTATGGAAGGTTCCAAAGAAATTGCCGAAAACAAGTTCGGCGATTTATTAATTACTCTCTTCGAAAAATAAGTCATGGTAGAATGCCATCCGCAACTGGTATAAAAGTAACGGAATACATGCACTCAATATGCATTTAGTATTCAGCGATTCCCTAAGATAGAATTCCGATACCAAATAAATTTATTATAAAAAATGAAAATTGTCATTGTCCTTGCTGCCTTGATTGCCATTGCCGTAGCTGCACCAGCACCAAATGAACATGCCGAAATTTTGAAATTGGATTCCAATGTTGAACATGATGGCTATAGTTTTGAGTAAGTTTAAAGATGGATTTTTGATGATCGATGGGTTTTAAATGTTTTTTTGCTTGTTTGTTTTTCATGTCAGTGTTGAAACCAGTGATGGTACATCCCGCCATGAAGATGGCAAAGTAAAGGATTTCGATTCTGAACATCCAGCCATTGTCGTGCACGGCACCTTCACCTGGAAGGATGAACATGATGGCAAAGTTTATACTGTCAACTATGTTGCCGATGAAAATGGTTTCCAACCCACCGGAGAACATCTTCCCAAATTGCCAGCTATCGCCCATGCTTAAAAATGTGAAAGGTTTTTTGAACTCAAACATCCACTCAGTGTTGGTTTAATGAAAATGTCTTGAGATATTAATTAGAAAAAAATTGTAAATAAATATTATTTTTGCAGCATTTAAAATATATGTTTCAATTACGACAGGGAATTAAAAATTCAGCTGATATTAATATGGGGTACCCGAGATGACAAAAAACAATGATCGAATTAAATTGAAATTGGTGAGAGTCGGTAAAATAATTTATATATAAATTATGTAAACAATTTCATCGGATTTCGTGAAAATGGTGCATCAAGAGCTTAGAACAAGTATAAGTGGGTGTTGTCGACATATATAATCTGAGCCTATGATATATGCATTATATACTTATACGGGCTTGTGTATCCTTCACCACACTGTGAACAGGGTATTATTTCTTAGTACATATTACAAACATATGCACTAAGAAATAGTACCCAGGAAGAAAACGAGATAGACACATGGTTCGTTTTGAGAATATGCATAGAATCACTTTCTAAGTCGATTTATGCATGTCCGTCCATCCATCTGTCCGTCGGTCTGTCCATGTTAAATTGTAAACAAAGTACAGGTCGCATTTATGATCCGAATTGGATGAAATTTGGTATAGGTCACTTATTTGGCCCAAGGATGAACCCTATTGAAATAAGAAAAAATCGGTTCAGATTTAGATATAGCTCCAATATATATATTCGTCCTATTTAATGTAAATGGTGTACCAGCATCCCTATATATCTTTCGATTTGCACGAAATTTGGCGTAGCGTAATGTATTAGGTCTAGAATGATGTGTGTTAAGTTTCCTGAAAATCTGTCCAAATTTAGATATAATTCCCATATATATTTTGGTCCGATTTAATATAAATTGTGTACCAAAGTTCCTATATATCTTTTGAGTTGCACGAAATTTGGCACAGCGTAGTAAATTAGGGGTATAATGATGTGTGTTAAGTTTCCTGAAAAATGTTCCAGATTTAGATACAGTTTCTATATATTTTTTCATCCGATTTTATGTTAATTGTTAATTGTTCCAAAAGTTTATCCGATTGCCACACAATGAATTGTAGTTAATACAAGTTAATCTCTGGTAAGTCTCATTGAAATCGGTATAGATTTGGATATATGAGTATGTTCCTTCGAGGGAACATTGACATACAATTGTAAGGATAATATGTACAATATACCCAAAGTGGTGAAGGGTATCATATAGTCGGCCCAGTCCGACTTTACTACTTTTCTTATTGGTTGGGTTTGCGGAGATCTACTTAATTAGTGTCAAGATGGATCAATATTTTTATTGAATATCATATCGAACATTCCATTCGCTTGGTATTGGATCCAGAGATTTTAAAATTTTATACGGAGGCACCAGAAGGAGTGGGCCGATGGGTCGCAAGGACTTTCCATACGCTAGATATTGGGTTTACAAATTTTCAACATTTTGACAATTTATGGGCGAGGTGCAAGGTACTAGAAGTGGTGGACCGCAATGAGAGATGATTTCATAGATTTTACAAAAAGTAATTTATCAAGGACCTACATTTTATAAAAATATTATTTTCAAAGTCTACCAATAGGCGTGTATTTTTTAAAAGTATTTTTAGGCACCAACAATAGAGGTGGATTTGTAAAAATATTTTTTAGAGACCAATAGGCGTGGATTTTTAAAGCATTTTTAGTGACCAACAATAGAGGTGGATTTGTAAAAAATATTTTTTAGGCGTGGATTTTTTAAAAACATTTTTAGGGACCAACAATAGACGTGGATGTGGATCAATAGGCGTGGATTTTTTAAAAGCATTTTTAGGGACCAACAATAGAGGTGGATTTGGATAAATAGGCGTGGATTTTTTAAAAGCATTTTAGGGACCAACAATAGTGGCGGATTTGGATAAATAGGCGTGGATTTTTTAAAAGCATTTTAGGGACCAACAATAGTGGTGGATTTGGATCAATAGGCGTGGATTTTTTAAAAGCATTTTTAGGGACCAACAATAGAGGTGGATTTGGATCAATAGGCGTGGATTTTTTAAAAGCATTTTTAGGGACCAACAATATAGGTGAATTTGGATCAATAGGCGTCGATTTTTTAAATGCATTTTTAGGGACCAACAATAGAGGTGGATTTGGATCAATAGGCGTGGATTTTTTAAAAGCATTTTTAGGGACCAACAATATAGGTGAATTTGGATCAATAGGCGTGGATTTTTTAAAAGCATTTTTAGGGACCAACAATAGAGGTGGATTTGGATCAATAGGCGTGGATTTTTTAAAAGCATTTTTAGGGACCAACAATAGAGGTGGATTTGGATCAATAGGCGTGGATTTTTTAAAAGCATTTTTAGGGACCAACAATAGAGGTGGATTTGGATCAATAGGCGTGGATTTTTTAAAAGCATTTTTAGGGACCAACAATAGAGGTGGATTTGGATCAATAGGCGTGGATTTTTTAAAAGCATTTTTAGGGACCAACAATAGAGGTGGATTTGGATCAATAGGCGTGGATTTTTTAAAAGCATTTTTAGGGACCAACAATAGAGGTGGATTTGGATCAATAGGCGTGGATTTTTTAAAAGCATTTTTAGGGACCAACAATAGAGGTGGATTTGGATCAATAGGCGTGGATTTTTTAAAAGCATTTTTAGGGACCAACAATAGAGGTGGATTTGGATCAATATGCGTGGATTTTTTAAAAGCATTTTTAGGGACCAACAATAGAGGTGGATTTGTAAAAAATATTATTAGGAACCATCAATAGGCGTGGATTTTTTAAAATAATTTTTAGGGTCCAACAATAGAGGTGGGTTTGCAAAAAAATATTTTTAGGGACGATCAAAAGGCTAGGTTTAAAAAAAAACACTACTTGGGAGTTTGGTGCACCATTTATCAAAAAATCGGAATAGGGGAACTAAATCTAAACCGATTTTCACAAAACTTCGTATATATCAATGTGGACCTATTTTAATACGTTCTGCAAAATGTTGCCTAAACAGAAATAAATATTGAATGTTTGGTGCACAATTTACTTAAAATCGGACGAAACTATATATGGGAGCTATATCTTAAATCTGAACCAATTTCAATAAAACTTCATAAATATCAAACAGGACCGAATTTAGTAGGCTGTGCAAAATGTTGTCCCAATCGGACAAATATTGGGAGTTTGGTGCACCACTTGCATATAATCGGATAAACTATATATGGGAGAAATATATCTAAAACTGAACCGATTTCATCAAAACTTCACGTACATCAAACAGGACCTAATATAGTACGCTGTGTGAAATTTTGTCTCAATCTGAATAATATTGGAAGATTAGTGCACCATTTACCTAAAATCGGACGACATTATATATGAGAGCTAAATCTAAATCTGAACCGATGTTCAAAAAAAAACTTCGCATACATCAATCAGGACCTAATTCAATACGCTATGCAAAATTGTATCTCAATCTGAAAAATATTGGAAGTTTGGTGTACCATCTACATAAAATCGGACGAAATTATATATATATATATATATGGGAGCTATATCTAAATCTGAACCGACTTTCACGAAACTTAGCACACACATCACTCTAGACTTAATTCCGTACGCTATGCCATATTTCGTGCAAATCGAAAGATATATAGGTACTTTGGTGCACTATTTACCTTAAATCGTACGAAAATATATATGGGAGCTATATCTAAATCTGAACCGATTTTTTCCCAATTTCAATAGGTTTCGTCCTTGGGCCAAACAAATGTGCTGTACCAAATTTCATCCAAATCGGATTATAAATTCGACCTGTACATGCATAAATGGACTCAGAAAGAGATTCTATGCATATTCTCAAAAGGAAGCATGTGTCTATCTCGTTTCCTTTTGCCTGTTACAAACATATGCACAAAGACAGAATACCCTGTACCACAGTGTGCTGAAGGGTATAATTATTTACTTTAAAATATTATATATTTTTAAAAGTTTAGGGAGTGATTCATTTCATTGATATTCTAGAAATTTTGATTTTATGCGAACATTCCAATTTTCAAGTAATTACTGTACGTTATTTTTATTGTCATCATCATATATTGAATATTGATTTTGTTTATTGTGCATAAAATTAAAATAAACATTTTTTTTTTTTCAAATAATATGAAACCGGTTTTGGGATCTTTCTTTGTTTTCAGCGTAGCAGTGTAGCTGTTTTGTTTAGTATAATATTTAAATGATTTATAAACTAGGCCAATGTAATTGTTATTGTATTATTATTATTATTTCATACATTATTAAAACTGAATATGAACTAATTTAGCGCATTTTGAATTATTTAATTTAAATTTGTTATTTCTAATCGCAAAAAAAAATTATGAAATTTATTTGTATCGTATTAAATTTATCGGGCATCATTTCTTTTAGATAGTTAGATGCATTTATTGATGTTGTGGAAATAGACATCCCATCTAGCCAAGATGAGGTCAGAGTAGCAATTAATCGCCTGATGAATAAGAAAGCAGCAGGTGCCGATTACCAGCCGAACTATTCAGGACTTGTGGTCATATGCCAGCTGATTAGTACAATTTGATTACAGGAATGCATGCCTAATGATTGGAACCTCAGCATCCTGTGTCCCGTGCACAAAAAAGGAGACAGGACAATATGTGTCAAGCATAAAGGGAAAAGTCTCCTTCCCATCGCATATAAAGTTCTATCCAGCGTTCTGTTTGAATGACTGAAGCCAATGGTCAATGACATTATTGGACCTTAACAATGCTGTTTCAGACCTTGCAAATCCACCTTTGCCAGATTTTTACTCCTCGAAAAATTCTCGAAAAACACATCGACACATAGCCGTCGACTATATAGCTGCATTTGATAGGTCTATTTGTTCAGATATGTTTAAAGCCATGTCTGCGTTTGGCATTCTTGCAAAATTAATATGGATATGCAGAATAACTTTAACTGTTATAAGGTCAGCAGTTAAAGGAGAAAAGGACGCCTCGAAA